CTTATATAGGACGGCTAAGGAAAGCCTCGTTGACAAGCTACATATAGTGAAAGATCTTCGTGAGATGAGGGACTAAACCATTGAGCTGAGGCAGAGAAACCCTTAATTGCAAAGGCCTGAAACAGGACCATACCTGGTCTTTTGGGGAAAGGCATGGAGGCCCCTGGCTTGAGAGGCAGAGAGAGCAGGTGGCAGGTGGTTTGCCAGGGGCATGTAGACTTCGTAGGCCATGGTGAACATTTTGAATTCTTGTCTTAAGAGGAGAAGACATTGAAGAGTTTAAGATCTGAATTAAGATCTGAATTATGTTCTTAAGTCATGCTCTGGAGACCACATGAAGAATAGATTTTAGGAGGGCAAGGGTATATTTTTTTCTGTGAATTGTCTGTTTATGTCCTATTGTCTATTTTTCAATTATGTCATTGGCCTTTCTTATCAATTTCTGGTAATTCTCTATATTAGGGAGATTAACCTTTGTAAGATAAGTGCCAAAGTTTTTCTCAGTTTGATATTTGCCTCTTGACTTTGCTTATAATGATTTTTGTCTCTGAAAAAAATATATTTGTGTGTAACTAAATTTATTGGTCTTTTATGGCTTTTGAACTTTGTGTCCTGGTTAGAAAGTCCCATTCAAAGTTTATAGAATAATTCTCCATTTTTTTATATTACATGATTTTATTTTTTACATTAAAATCTTTGATCCATTTGGAGTTTATCTTGGTTTATTGCATGAAGACTGAATTTAATTTTATTTTCTTTCCAGACAGGTGTTTAGTTGTCCCCATATTATTTATTAAGTGCTCATTTTTTTTCTATAATTTAAGACACTATATTTATTATATATGAAATTCCCATAAATACTGGCATCTATTTCTGAATTGTTTTACATTCACTTAGTCTCTTTTTATTTGTGCAACATTAGCTCACGGGCTTAACTACTGGTGTTTCAGCATCTGATAGGACCAGTCTCTTTTTGGTAAATAAAGACTGATAGTCTTTATTTTTTCTGGTTATCATTCTATACATTTCCATATTAAATTTAAAATCAGCTTTACTCAATTCAAAAATATCATTGGTATTTGTAGTGGAATCATGTTAAATTTATAAGTTATCACAGGGAGAATTCTCATCACGATTATGTTGAGACTACTTATCCAAGAACACGGAATGATAGTCCATTTGTTCATTCAGGTGTTTCTTTGTGCCTTCAGTAGTGCTTAACATTCCCTTCATATGGGTAATGCAGACTTTCTGAGATCTTTAGTTGCTGTTGTTGCGATTGTAGATGAGGTCTTTCTATGATATCTTTTAACTGGTTTTTACTCCCATATGTGCAAACTATTCATTTCTATATTTTAATTTTGAAACTTACTAAGTTTTCCTACTAATATAGTATAATGTTAGTTCTTTCTCTTGGGTTTTCCAGGTACATTATATAATCATATCATCTGACTTTTCTTGTACTTTCTCTAACTTTTTGGAGGCAGATGTTTAATTCAGTTGGTATCTTTTCTTTGCTGATTGATTATTTGATGTTACATGTTTTCTGTGGATACTGTACTGGCAACTCCTAAAGGGTCTCATAGGCAGAGTTTCTATTGTTATTATTTGGTAGATAACCTACAATTTGGAGTTGAATTTCCTCTTTGACCCAAGAGTTGTTTAAAAGAGTGTGGGGAAAATGCATATATTCTATTTTCTGGCAATGGAATTCAATATGTATCAATCATATCAACTTTATTAAATATATTACTTGGGTTCTCCATAGCCTCCTCTATTTTATCCACTAATCTCTCATGGACTAAAAGACAAAAATAAAGTCTTCTATTAAAAGTGTGTTTTTACCTACTTCTTATTGTAGTTCTATAATTTCCACTTGCTGTAAATATATTACTTGGGTTCTCCATAGCCTCCTCTATTTTATCCACTAATCTCTCATGGACTAAAAGACAAAAATAAATTCTTCTATTAAAAGTGTGTTTTTACCTACTTCTTATTGTAGTTCTATAATTTCCACTTGCTGAAAACTTTTTGGCCTGAATCACACTTTTCTTGATATTCATATCATGGCCCCTGATTTCTTTTTGTTGATATATGATAAATATATCTTTGCCTTTGTATTTCTTTTCAATGTCTTTTAAATATGTTTTAAAGTGAGTCTTTTGAGTATGATGAAAAGTTGAGTT